CTAATTTTCTAGACAAGCACGTGGAAATGGCTTGTCACTGCATTCTTCTTAAATGTTTTTTCAGTGTCTCAGTCTAGCCTACAGCCCTGGGATTTCTTAGAGGCCTTGTATCCAAGTCGTAAGATGGTTATCCTTGCTTAGCTCCAGAGTACAGACAAGGTATTAGACTGTCTGTAATATAATACATAGAACTTAAAAACAGATGCATGAGTATGCTTGACGAAGATAAAAGGACCACTGATTTTGTCCAGATTGTCCCTTCGATTTCTGACATTAATAGATATTAACAAGTGATGCTCTCTGCACTGCAAGGCGTCACCTTTAGAAAGCCTTCCACTTTTTCAGTTGCTAAGTATCTCTGTTGATGTCCCCAAGGGTTTTTTTTAGTGGCCAATTAGCTATTTTAGTTTCATTTGTTCTAAATTATGTTTGGGGTTTTATCATTTTCTATTGGGTTTGGATACATATTGCTAGGCACTTTGGGAATCTCACATTAAGAGACTGGAAGGAATGCTTTCATTTTTAAAAGGGTAGTAAGGCTTCAACCAATATTATGAAATCCATTAGACACGTGGCCATGGCCACAGCGAATGATTCTCCATATATCAAGCCAATCATTTGGTCCAGTTAGTTCAGTACTGTCAACAATGGCTGGAAGTAGGTCCCCAGAGTTTTAGAGAGGACCTTTTTTACACACTTACCTAAAGCTCCTTGGGATTGAATCACAAATGTACGGAATGCAACACATGTGCTCTGACAAGAGCTATGGCCTAATCCAGTGTTTCTCAACCTTGTCAACTTTAAGATGTTAAAGTTTAAGATGTTAAAGATGACACTGTTTCCCATGACTCTCTCTGGACCAGTGTTTCTCAACCTTGGCAACTTTAAGATACATGGACTTCAACTCCCAGGATTCCCCAGCCAGCCAGGCTGGCTGGGGACTTCTGGGACTTGAAGTCTACACATCTTAAAGTTGACAAGGTTGAGAAACACTGGCCTAATCTATTGCCTAGGAATTTAGATACTTGTTTTACACCATGGCAGACCACTGGTCCACCTAAGTTGTTCCTGTATTGAGGAAGAAAGATTGGTTTATTTATTTATCAAATTTCTAAGCCCCCCCCCCAACCAACTCCCTAACTGGACAGCATACAGTACTGAAAAAAATTAAAACTAATATAACAGGTATATTGCAACAAAACACACAACACGAAACATTCCCAGAAGAAGCCCACCCTACCTTAAGGTTTGGGAGAAAAACCATTTATTTTGGGCCCATTTAAATGAGATCAGGGTAGGGGCCATAGGAATCTCTGGCGGGATGCTTGTTCCCTCCCCATCCCCCAAGTTACTTATCTTTAATAAGAGGGTTATCTTATATTCGCTTAGGGTATGGCAGCAGAGACAGATGAGTGTATCTCATCTAAATTTTCTTTTTCAGTAAGGGATTACTTTTTATACTTTATATTCCTTTATATTTGGGGGCATTTTTTCCATCTCAGATAATTATTGGTTTTGTGTGTGTGTGTGTGCGTGCACACACACATGTGCACCTTGAAGTCAGTTTTTTTACTCCTGGTAGCTGTCTGGATGAGTCCCTATAGCTTTCTTGGCAAGATTTCAGAAGTGGCTTGCCGTTGCTTTCTTCTTCCTAGGGCTGAGAGAGGGACTGGCCAAGGTCACCCAGCTGGCTTCGTGCCTAAGGTGGGACTAGAACTCTCGGTCTCCTAGTTTCCAGCCTGCTGCCCTAACCACTACACCAAATTGGCTCTCTTAAATATGATACAGCCCATATTAACTGGCAGAGATTTTCTCACATTTCAGAAAAAAAGGCTTTCCCATACTTATATGAGATCTTCTGCAGGCAAACTCTGTTTTCTATCCTTGAGCTATCTAATACTTGGGAAAAAACGGTAGCCTATCAAATGGATGTTCAGTTCATCCTGAGCAGATGCAGCATGTTTCTGACTGAGAGGTGCTAAGAATCAAACCAAAAAAGCAAAGTGATCCTTCCTTTGAGGTTCCCTTGGCATCAGCTGATCACTTCTAGAGACAGAAATCACAGCTAAATCTTCTCCTCCAATGAGTTAATTCCTACATTATTGTCCACATGGAATTTGTTTCTTTGAGAGTATGAACATTGTGTTGGATCATGCACAAGACATTTCAGGTGCCTCCTCCACCTTTGGTGCCTTCAACAGTGCTCCAAATCCACAACTTTGAGCAAAAGTCTTCCTTTGCTCCATGACAGAGCCAGCTGTGCCAAAGCCACGTTCTACTTACCACAGTAACCGCATCATTCAGCAATGACTCGCCAAACACCAAGATGTGCAAAAGTTCATTGATATGAATCTCCTCAAATACAGCCAGCACGGCCACAGGGTCCACTGCTGAGATGATGCTGCCAAAAAGCAGGTTGGCCAGGAGGCCAATGTCGGATAAAGGGGAGCCACCCATCTGGCAAATGGCGTACATCAGAGCCCCCACGAAGAAAGCATTCCATAATGTCCCAATCACGGCAAAAATCAGGATTGTGCCCAAGTTCTCAGTGAATTGGCGCAAGGGCAAGAAGTAGCCAGCGTCCAGGATGATGGGTGGGAGAAGGAAGAGGAAGAAGACATTTGAATTTAGGACTGGGGGGTTTTCTCCCACGGCTTTAATGAGCCCACCGACCAGCAGTCCTACGACAATGAGTAAGCAGCTCTCAGGAACAATGCTGGAAATGGTTGGAATCACGTGGAACCCTATAAGTGGAGACAGAAGCAGCATGGTCAAGATTTTCATAAAGCTGCATCCTCTGTACATGACAGTCCTTCAGTTTTACCATGAAACTAAACCACACACTCTTCTAGAATCCTGGATGTGAGAGAGTGAAATAAGACTTTGTCCTTTAAAGAAACACAGCAGCACATTTTGGTTCCAGGACAACCCGATTCTGCAGCAACATACAGCGGATTCTGTGATCAGCCTAGATTATACAAAGTAGGAACATTTGCATGAAAATGTTCTCTTCTTTAAGTCTTTAGCTGCAATGTTATATTTAGTTACCCTGGAGTAAATTCCAGATAACTCAACTGGGCCTATTAGTAGGTTTGTAAAACTGCACAGCTAGAATGATTTATCTGTAATCAATCTGCACCATCCTTACCACATCTCCTATCCAATTTAATTCCCATCTCAAATCACAGAGCTAGACTAAATGAGAGGAGGAACTGGCATGCTTTCATTATTCATTGCTCTTCTTATTTAATGTAACATACAGCATCATCCCCCTTATATCCAACAATTAGTCTGTGCTTGCCAAAACTGTATCACCCCCACCAAGAGACACTGATCAGCAGTCTGGGGAGAACCTGAGCTTGCAAAAATGGACCAAACATTTAGGGGTGAAAACTCTTAAACATGGGAGCAATCTCCAGAAAAAAACAAGTAAGAAGACTGAGCACATTCAGTGGTGACATAATGCTGCCCAGTTCTTGGAGGATGGGAGTAAAATGAAGTTGTTAAATCCTGGACAGGGGCAATTCCCATTTGAAGGTTTTGTTGGCTGTTCCCTTTCAATACAGAGATACTCATATCCAGCCCTTCCCTCCCCCTACAATCCAAGTTATCAATTTTTCATATTCCTCAAAATACAGTTCTGCTGTTTAGGGAGAAAGATGTGAAACACAGCATGTTTCATCCTCTAACTCTCTGGCAAAAGGACTCATTTTCATAAGAGGCAGCCATTTTTAATAAATGCCTCAGTTGCTTCAACCCTCCCTGCTGAACTTCTGGGCACGAGACCATCTGTTTTAAGTGCAACCTGTTGAGCTGTAAAAGAGATCACCACACTGCGATACCTTAGTGCAGTGTTTCTCAGCCTTGACAATTTTAAGATGAGTGGACTTCAACTCCCAGAATTCCCCAGCCAGCCATCCTGGCTGGG